CCAACCTAAATGATTCTATGATTCTATTCTATGATTCTCCATAGGCTGCCTTTTTTCTCCAGATTAACTAAATGCACTTCCTTCAACCTTTCCGCATAGGTCTCGTTTCACTTTCTTTTGGATTCTGTCCAGTTCCTGTCTTTTGTAGTATGTCATGCCCGAAACTGGATGTAGAAGTTGGCTGAGGACTCATTTGCCTTTAGAAAATGACATAATTGCGTCTCTTCCCTTATTTCAGACAGTTATTGCACAATAGATGCACATCTTTTGTTTTGCTTGTGTCTGTTGGGTTTCTGCTGAACTGACTCTCCACAGCTTTTTTAATACACAATTAATTTCTCCTTCTGAAGTGCAGCACTAAGCAAATTCTTAGTTTTGTCATGATTTTGGACAGTCTCTCCAGTTTGCCTAATCTGTCCTGCAGAGTGCCTGCCACCCCCTTGGGCTTGGAGTCCTACTCCTCTCTTTAACAGATGGGACATCACAGAGCTCCTGCAGGAGGGATCTGCTGTCTCTTCCCCTGCCGCCATGCTCACTGGTTCTCCATACTCATCTACTGGCATTTCCTAAACACACTGGACTCTTTCATGTTGGTGTTTCAAGCCTCCTGCTTTCCCTCATCAAGTCTCCGTGGTGCCTGTTATACCCTGTACTTTTGGTTGGCTATGAGGATTTTTAACACTCTCTACTTTACGTTTTTCTTTACTTGTCAGATCTGTGAAAAGGTGCTAAAAATGTCGGCAGATTTAGTGTCCATCTGCCACACCATTTTGCAAGCGATGGCAATATTGGGCAAGGCTCAGACTGAGTCCCAGCTGCCTTTGGAAACCATGGTGCAAGTGAAGAGCACGGCTTTGAGATACGCCTTTTGCTGTGCTCCATTTACAGTCATAGAAAAGCAAAGTCATATAATAAGGAATTTTAATGTGTGTTTCAGCCACGGGAACAAAGAAGTATTTTCTTGTCGAGGAATCAAACTGGCGGTAGACTGGTTTTTGGAAAGAGGCCACAAGGATGTTACAGTGTTTGTGCCAGCATGGAGGAAAGAACAGTCGAGACCTGATGCTCTTATCACAGGTAAGCTCTGTTCCACCTTCACCGGCTTGTTTGATGCTTTGCGCAGCATGAGTGCTACTGCTCAAATGAACAAATATTTAGAAATGAAAGACTATAATAGAAAGTATCTTTGATGTAGTAAGTCCATTGCGATCTTCAGGAAGGAAAAAGATAAAGCAATGTCCTCTCCAATTCCTCCTTTTCTGCTCACCTGACAAATTTTCCATTGACATTGCGACTTATTTCTTGAAGAATGTAATTGCCAGTTTTTAAGTCTGTTACACCTATGTAGTATCAGTAGTGAAGAGGTTTGAAGTTAGTGATTCACTGCGTGATCTTGCTTGTGGTGAGCAGATTCTGCCAGGCTGGCCTGTCTGCTGGTCACCTGTGGTGAGTCACTGCCTGCGCTTGGGGTTATGAGAATTATGCTGACAGAAAGGGAACAGTTCCCCTTTTCATCATTACTATTAACAAGTGAGATAGCTTTCAAAAATCTTAATTTTGAACCTGTTTATTTAGGAAAAAAAATTGGTGGGGGCATTTATTTCTTGATCGAACTAATTGCTTCTGTGTGAAGGCTGGAGAGTCGTCCTTCCTCTGCCCTAAAGTTGAAGCAGAGGAGAATTTGGGTTAAAAAAAAAACCCTAGAGTTTAGGGGGGAAAGGATGATTGGGGTTTTGGGGGGGGGGGGGGGGGTTTAAAATATGGCTAATTTTTATGTTTAAAATATGGCTACTTCTGAAGTGGGGGGAAGCTTTTGAGAGCAAGAGCTATGGCTTCTAAAAGAACATGGAACCATGTTTTGATTACCACGTGGATTTTGAAATATCTGGAAGGATCTTCACAATGCTTTGTTTCATTTGCTTGATTGCTACTAGAATGTATCATGTTAATGCAAGAAAATGTTTGGAAAGCTGCTGTTGTCCCCTCATCACAGGCAGTGTGGAACCTTTCTCTTGAAGCCTTTGCTTTTCACTGTACTAGCATTCGAGATATGAGAAGGGCATTGGCTAAGTAATAAAGATTTGGCTATTTAGAAATAAATTGTGACATCTGCTAGAGCTGAGGATAGGGCTAGAAGCCCCAAAAAGAATTTTGAGAAAGTAGCACAACTTGGAATTAACCAGTTGTCTAGCAATGAAAAATCAGTTTGCTGTGTGTCATCATGGACCCTGAAAATGGGAGGAAGAAGAAGGTTATTGTGTCATCTGTAAAACAGAAGTTCTTCAGTTTTCTTATCAGGATACAGGGAGCCTGTTTGCTACCAGTCTTGTGGAATACATTGTGCTGACACTCCATTTCCAGAGACAGGCACCTGAAATATGTGGCCACCTGGAATTTTGAAAAAGTCTTAGATGACTAATGTGAGGATGGTTCTAGACTGTCAGTATTTGTGAGAAGCTTCTTGGATTAAACAACAGCTGCATCTTTCTTCTTATTACCTGCCAGCCATCACAGGGCAAATTTTTTTATTCTTTCTTAGTGAGGAAAAAAAATCACCTTCCATCACATTCTTATTCATCATTTACCACATGGCAGGGGACTGTGTGAATGCAAAAAGCTTGGATTTCATTTAAAATCTTGTGCTTTTTCTACTAAGCAGATAAATGCTTTTATCAAATACATTGTTTATATGTAATATTAATGCTGTATTTCTTCCTGTTGGAGTCTTTTTTTTTTCCTAGATGGAACATGTTCCCTGTCAAGTTTTTTGTGCTACAAAACAGTTGAGATCTAAACCACTATTAAGACCCATCACTGATACTCACTGTGCAAGCATCTTCTGCCATTTTAGATGTTGTGTAGCTTTTTGTTTATTTTTCTTTCATATCTTGTCTGCTCTGAGGAGGGTGGTAGCTGGGAGAATCAACACAAGGGGTATGTCCTTCAGTGCTAGGTACGCTGGTGCTACGTCTTAGTTCAGACCAACCTCCTGAGGCCATCTTTCAAAGCTCCTCAGGATCTCCAGGTCCCACACAGAGAAAGAGAAAATGCTTTTGGATAGGTGATCCACGGACTGTGTAGGATAAGAAAGAATTAGATAAAATGTTAAACACACTTATTTAGCAGGATTGAAGAGAAATCTGTTTGGATTTGCTAAGAGTTTATACATGAAACTGTAAACCCTTCAAGGAAAGATATGTTCTGAACTATTACTGGAAGTAAAATAAAACAAGCAAAAAAACCCGCATTTGCTCTTGGTTACAAGATGACATTCAACGTCTTTTTAGGGGATGCTGTTAACATTTGTGAAGAGCCTGAGTGTTTGTACAGAATGGGGGTTTTCAGGTCCTTGTGCGTACTAGTGGTAACCCCTTCTCTTGATGGGCAGAAACTTTTATGAGGCAATCCCATTAATGCGAGCTACTGGAATTATTTTGAAATCTGTTTCTTGCTCAGTAGCGCAAAGGATCTGTCTTTACCAAGGAGCTCAGTTACGGGAAACCTTTGGCTGTACTTGAGCGTAGCCCTCCTATTCAACAAAACGTTCAGTAAGATTTAAGATTTCTCTTTTTCCCCCTCCTCAACCAGAGGAGTTTTTCACAGGCATTTTGATAAATAGTGATTTTTTTAACCACAGCAACATGAACAAGGTCCCCTGTGTTGGTCTTAGAGAAATTGTGTGGAGCAGGAGGTTTCAATTTGTTTTAGGGTTTTTCCAGTTGACTGCTGACTGTAACTTCAAATATCATATATCAGATACCTTCTGCTGGACTATAACCATTTAAGACATGTTTAATCCTAAATATTTGGATTTTCTTCCTCAAATCTAATGTCTTTGGAGATTAAATGAGCAACTTTTTCTTTTCTTTTTCTTTTTTAACTTTCGATTCTTATTCCTTGTAGATCAAGAAATCTTGCGTAAATTAGAAAAGGAGAAGATTCTTGTGTTCACACCGTCCCGCCGAGTGCAAGGGAGAAGGGTGGTATGCTACGATGACCGATTTATAGTGAAGTTGGCCTTTGAGTCAGACGGCATCATTGTTTCTAATGATAACTACAGGGATCTAGCTAATGAAAAGCCTGAATGGAAGAAGTTCATAGATGAACGCTTGCTGATGTATTCATTTGTTAATGACAAGTAAGTCATTCTGTCTTTATACGTGCCACTAAAATAATTGAGGAAAGGACAGCTTGAAGACTTGTATGAATTTCTTATCTTACACCCAAATCATTAGGTACGTGTAGGAAAACAGGAGGAATAGTCGATCATAGATTTGGTCTTCTGATTAAAAGTACTCAAACTCTTGTTGTTTGCTAGAGCTTTTTTATAACAATATCTTTATATATTTTTATGCTATTTTTTCCCCTTTTGGTGTATGTCAATGTATATGCTATATTTGGTGTATGCTATGGTACGGTATTCCAATTCTCTTGATATACTGAACCAGCATTTTCGAGTGCCTGTGGTTAGACTCCTAAATCCTAGAGCCATAGAAAAACCCATGCTGGAATGAACCTCAGGAGGTCTCTAGTTCAACTGTCTGCTTAGATCCATCTATGGTACCTTCATACCCCAGCATACAGATCAACTGCAGTTAGTACTGGTGGCTTCTTGTAGTGGGAGCAAGTCGGTACTCTGCCAAGCAGGCACTTGTATTTCAGTGCCTAAATACTGTCCTAAATACTGCTAGGGTCCTAGACAATAAGCACAGTTTTGCAAAGTTAGTTGTGGCATTTTAGGAAATCGCTGCCTGTATTGCTGCCCTTACTTTGATTTAGGGATGGGTTGTGTGCAGCCCTGCTTTGCCGCAGAGCAGTCAGCTGAGCTAGACTGAAGGTGTCTGAAGCAGACAAGGGCTGTCCACACAGTCTATTTCTATGACTTATCTCTCAGGCAGTACCTGCAGCAGAAAGGTGGCCTTTCAAAACAGCTCTCAAAGTACCCAGGCTTAAAAATGTCAGCTTGGCAGGTTATGGTGCAGGACACAGCCATGAGGTTCTTGGTCATTGCATGAGGAATATGAAAAGGCTTGTTTGCTTCCATAAACACTTTTCTTTGCTTTATAGATTTATGCCTCCTGATGATCCTCTTGGACGCCATGGTCCAAGTCTGGACAATTTTCTTAGGAAGAAGCCTATTGTGCCGGAACATAAGAAGCAACCATGTCCATATGGTAACTTGATTTAACTCCTCAGTTTTCTGTACTGCTGGGAGTGGGAACCAAGCTCCTGCTTTATTTTAACACTGCCAAATATAAAAGCTTTTTAACAGAAGTTTTTACTGAAATACCGAGCTGGTGGTGGAAACTGAAGTGATTTTTTTCATGTGCTAGTTAGAGAACATTTCTATCTACTAGTTGAACTAAAGGAGCAACTCTATTAATCATTCGTAGGAACAGATCCAAAACAGCACCTAAATTCTGCAGGCTCCAGAAAGTCCTTTTCTAATGTGATTTGGTCATAAGACATCTAAGTTTTCTTCCAGAAAATTGATTTAGCTCTCTGAACTTTAGCTACTGAGCATCCCTACAGGCACACTACTATCTTGAATAAGGTGAAACCTGCTGGTCTTATGACTCTGTGGGACTTTCCTATTAAGTTTTCTGCCTGTATATCTCCTTGGCCCAATACAGCGGGTGTGTACAGACACTGTACACGCTGGTAGTGTTGGTCTGCATTCCTAGAGCGCTAGCTGCAACACGCTACCACTGCCTCTTTTTACCCACAGTACAAGAGAGGAGATCTTAGATCTCGCCCTGTGTCGCACAAAACCATTTGCAAGATCTTTCAAATCATCAGTAAAACTTTAAATGAGGGGCATTTCCATTGTTTGATGATTAACAGATTTTGGTTGAAGATCTTTTTTATCTGATTATGTTTGTATTAATAGGGAAGAAATGTACCTATGGACACAAATGCAAATACTATCATCCGGAAAGAGGAAATCAGCCTCAGCGATCTGTAGCTGATGAACTTCGTGCCATGTCTAGAAGCACAGCTGCCAAAACTACAAGTGAAGGAGGACTGGTAAAAAGCAATAGTGTTCCCTGTAGCACTAAAAATGATGGCACTTCTGAGCTGAAGCGTGCTGCTCCAAAGAGGCAATCGGATCCTAGTATAAGGACTCAAGTCTATCAAGACTTGGAGGAAAAGCTTCCCACCAAAAACAAATTGGAAACCAGGTCTGTACCTTCTTTAGTTAGTATACCAAGTTCCTCTACTGCAAAACCCCAAAGTACTGCACCTTTAACTAACGGCCTTCCATCCGGAGTTCACTTCCCACCTCAGGATCAAAGACCACAGGGACAGTATCCTACAGTGATGATGGCAACCAAAAATCACGGAACGCCAATGCCTTATGACCAGTATCCAAAATGTGAGTCTCCTGTGGATGTAGGGTATTACTCTATGCTGAGTGCATATTCAAATCTAGGTATATCTGGTCCACGTAGTCCTGAAAGGCGCTTCTCCTTGGACACAGATTATAGGATTAGCTCTGTAGCTTCTGACTGCAGCAGCGAAGGGAGCGTTAGCTGTGGCAGTAGTGATTCCTACGTGGGTTACAGCGATCGCTCTTACATGAGTTCACCTGACCCACAGCTAGAGGAGAACTTGAAGTGCCAACATATGCACCCCCATGGCCGCCTTAACACTCAGCCCTTCCTACAGAGCTACCATGAGCCTCTCACACGAGTGCAAAGCTATAGTCACGAAGAACCAAAGCATCACCACAAACCTCCAATTCCATACATGGCTGTGCATCTGCAGCATCCAACAGTTGGTGCTCGTTCTAGTTGTCCGAATGACTACTCTACGTCTCAGAGTTCGTCACATTCAAAGACCATGCATCTGGGGAGAACCCTCGTGTCCACGAGAATAGACAGCATTTCAGACTCGCGTTTATATGATAATTCTCCATTAAGACACAGAAAGCCTTATTCTGGCCAAGATGGGCTTGGAAGCTGGGATAGGCAGAGTTACGGGATAGATGCGTATGGCTACCGCCAGACCTACTCCTTGCCGAGTAACCCCACGCAGCCGTGTTATGAGCAGTTTGCCTTCCAAAGCTTACCTGAACAGCAGGACCAGACCTGGCGCGTACCTTACTGTGGAATCCCTCAAGACCCTCCAAGGCACCAAGACACCCGGGAGAAGGTTTACATTAACCTCTGCAACATCTTCCCCCCTGATCTTGTGAGGATCGTTATGAAGAAGAACCCTCACGTGACGGACGCTCAGCAGCTCGCTGCAGCCATCTTAGTGGAAAAATCTCAGCTAGGTTATTGAGAGATGATGCATCTTTGTGGTGTCTAGTAGTTTTCAGCTCAGCTCTAATGCTGAGGGAGGTTTGCTACAATAGCATTTGGGATCTCCTTCTCAACAAGGAGGTTATATAGTAATCCATTTATGTGAAATACTGTATCATGGAGTCTGTATGTATAGCCCCATGCATCAGAAGTACCAGATATGTTTTGTGTTCTAGTTTGAAATTTTTTAAATGGCTATTTTCACAGCTGGAGAATGTTCCAGTTTAAATTAATA